CTCTTCCGATCTCCCCAAAACCCCAAAACCCCAAAACCCCAAAACCCCAAGCGTTTGAAGTGATGGAGTATTAAATAAACATTTGAACTATAAATTAATTGTGAAGATATTAGGTATTTATTATTAATTAGAGAAGATTGAAAGCGAAAGAAAGATGGTAGACGCTGAAAAGGATAAGACCAAGGGAGAGGAAATTCAAGAAGAGATCCAAAGAATCAGGTACCATTATCATCCCATGACTCATATTTAGAATGACTCTTAGAAGCAAGGAGACCAAACCACTTGAAGCTGCATGCGCTGAAATTGTAGCTAGAGCCAAGAACCAAGGCTACGAAACTAAAGGGCCAGTTCGCATCCCCACTAAGATTCTCAAGATCACAACCCGTAAAAGTCCTTGCGGAGAGGGTTCAAAGACTTGGGACAGATTTGAAATGCGCATCCACAAGAGAGTCATCGATATCCACTGCCCATCAAGCGTTGTCAAGGAGATCACTAATTTCAGAATCGATCCAGGTGTTGATGTCAACCTTATTGTCTGGAAGCAGTGAGAAAAAATCTCTCTTCTTAGATTTTAATTGAATATTAAACATAAATCGCAAATTATATATCATATATTTACTTATTTATTAAATTCAAGATGAAGTCCACACCTCATTTTAATAATTCTAGTATCTAAAATAGGCAACCAGGCATGATTTAAGCTAGATAATAAAATAGCGCCCAATTTCCATTTTCGGAACTTCAAAAATTATTACCATAAATTTCAGAGTCAGAGAGACAGAGTGTTAGAGAGTAGCTGCTAGAGACGCTTGCCAAAGATATGGATCCAGATAGCATACAGAGAATTATAGAAAACCAAAATAACCCATTAATAGATTAGATTGATCATGGTTTAAATTCCAACAGTAATAAAATGAGTGTAATAGACGTTGTTGTTTAGCTTGAGACTTTAATCAACTCAAAGTACTCTGCTTAAGCAAGCAATCAAAATTATAAGGGCTTGTCAAAGAAAATAGTCTAGAGCTTGAAAACTAAACACGATCAAAGATTGCAAATTATGGGTATCAAGGATTAAACATAGATAGAAGATTTTCTATAAACATTTCTGTTCGAAAAACCAAGACCAGGTGCTCCTTTAGCTCAAGAAAGTGCTGGAAGTGCAGCTACTACTAATAATAACTAGCAGAACAATCCATTTGCATTCCCTAAGCCAACAACTACCACTGGTGCTAATTAAAGGAGACCAGCTGGACCATAGAGTAGGCTTCCTCAATAAAGATTTGCTGCTCCTGGTATGTTTGTACCCCCTACTATTGAGTACACTCCAGGTGCTATTAATGCATTTGAAAATAAAGAATAGTCTGCTAATGATGGAGGTGCTGCAGCTCAGAGTATTCTAGGTGGATAAGAATTTTCCTTATCAGCTAATATAATTGAGGGATAATAGCATTAGAATCAGAGCAATGTTCAAATAAATTATGATCCACAATCCTTCTTAGAGCAAGAGAGGCCTACTATTCAGTAAAACAACAACTAATCTTAGGAAGAGGCTAAGACTAACAAAGCAGCTGCATCGATCAATTTCTTCTCAGATTCTGGGGCAGCTGACTTAGGTTTACCTAACCAATTGCAATTGAGTAATATAGGTATGAACTAAGATAATTAGATCATTAATGATGAGATGGATTATTTTTCTTAGATGGCTTTAAAAGCTACATAGCAATAAAACAAACTAAATTAAGATTTCATGATCAGATAGCAGCAGGAACTTAATGAAAGCAGACATTAAGCTTAACTTGATATGATCCAATAATAAAATCTTGGAGTTTATTAGCAATTCACTTAACAGTATTCTATCTAGGAAGAACAAAGCAAAGGGGATTAGACAAATGATCAAAATTAAAGATTAGAGTTCAACGACCTTAGTGGAAACGAACTACAAAAATTGAATCAAAATCAATTGCCTTTGATAAATCAATAGCACATACCCAACAATTAAAATGATCTCTCAATAGAGCATCAGCAGGATTAATTAATCCCACATCAAGTTTAAAATAATTACTCATAGTTTCATCTTAGTAATCAGAATTCAAATATGGGACTAGTTGAGTTAAACTAATCATCGAATAATTCTATATTCAGAGAGGAAGGTAGAGTTTATGAGGCTGAAGGAAATCTAGAGTAAGAAGAGGGACAGTAAAAGTAAAATTCTGATTCAGATAACAATCAGCAGAGAGAATAATTAGATAGTTAGAGATTTATTTAGCAAGAGAGTAATGACAACTAATTTTAGTAATAAGATGACCTAAATGAATAGCAGTTTAATGATATTCCTTTGATTGAGGAGCTATAGGCATCAAGAGCTCATTCCTAAAACTAGGATCAAAGATACTAAACAGAGGAAAGTCCAGAGTAAGTCAATGTATATGAGACTATGCAATTTAATCAAGACTCAAATACAACATAAAAAATGCAGGATATGTCTTAGAGTAGAAATTAGTCTCTTCCTAATTTTAGATTGGATAACCAAAGCCATATTCAAGCGATGGGAAGTAACAATAATAACTACAACTAGTATTAGCAGACTTAACCTGATCTGAGATCAAGTACTCCATCAATGAAAGGATTCATTCAAAGCTTTTAATCATCAAGACCCCCTTAATCAGTTGCTTCACTTAACATCACAAATCTTGAGGATTCTGAAGCATTAATAAGAGCTTACAAAAAGAAAAAGAATGAACTTGAGGAAATGAAGAATGTTTACTATCGCATTGAAACAGATTACTTTACAGAGAAATAGAGAGCTTTACTATTGGAGGAGGAAAACTAGCATATGAAAGTAAGTTTATCAAAAGCAGAGAAATCTTTGAGAGAAGCTTAGCTTAGAGAATCTAGAAGAGACACTGATGTATTATAAAAGCAACTCCAACTAAAGGCTTAAGAAATTCAAGCTTATCAAAATGAAGTACACAATCAAAAGCTAGAGAATCAGAAATTAAGAGAGAAACTTAAGGACTCAATGACTAGAAATAGAGGTGGCGCTGGTGGATCAGGTTCATCTCTGTCTCATGTAAGCGAAGAAAGCAATTAAAATACTGCATTCCTGAGTGATCAGATATAAAAGCTACAAGCAGATAATACTAATCTCAGATATCAACTTGACCAGGCAAGAGGCACTATAAGTAATATGAATGAGGAAAGCAATAGAAGGCTTAGATCTTTGGAGGAATAGAAAAATTAACTTATAAATTAACTAGAGCAGACCATCCATTAATTAAAAGCTAAATATGATACAGATACTGTTAAACTAATCTCAGAAAGGGATACTTAGTCTTAAGTATGCAGAAGACTCTAGGAGGAATTATCTTTAAAAGCAAAAGAAAATGAATAATTAGCAAAACATTTAGAAGAAAAATCTAAGAGAGAAGAACATTTACTATCTGAAAAAGCTAAACTCATAGAGAAGTCACAGAATAGTAGCTTTGTGAATTTAAGTGGGCCCTAGGTAGAAAACTAATCCCCACAAACACAACAAGATCCAGGCTATATTGATTATCACAATCTCTCTTCAAACAGCTCAAGAAGTCACCAAGTAGAACAGAGATCAATAAATGAAGTCCAGGTTATCAGAGGAGATTATTTCAACAACTAAATTGATGAAGCAGATAAGAAATCAAGTGCTCCTCCTTCATAGCATAACAAATAGTAAATAAATCAGTTTATTCCAACTTAGCACTCTAATTAACCTATGTAATAACAATAGCATAATTAGACTGCTCAGTAGTAGATAGGGAGTTAGAATTTCTAATAACCCTAATAAAGATAACACTAATAACAAATTATAAGTCAGCCATTAAATCAGAAATAGCAGTAGTTACCACAGTAATAACAATAAAGATCAGCTTTCTCAAATAGTCAGTCAGATGCAGAGGATTTCTTCTCAAGCTTGTCTTAAAATGCTTAAATGAAACCACCCACATAGAATAATCAGACTCAACCCTAGTAGCAGATAATAAGATAACAGCAACCGCAACAAATGAGGCAGGCTTTACCATAAACTTTCCCATAGAACAGTTAAATAATTTAGCAGCAAGCTGAATTATATAATAATCAAAATATCCAAATGAGACAACCCCTCCAGTAGTAAACATAGATAACTTAGAAGCCTCCTCAATAATATTAGAATTAGAGATAGTAACCACAAATTTAACAGATTTAAAATCAAAATTAAATACAAAATGCTTATAATTTTACCCTTGATGAAATTAGTTTTGAAGAGAGCTTTAGTATCCAACAAACATAAAAGAATAATTTTTCAGCCCCTATACCTCAGTAGCAAATGTAGCATTCTGCTAAAGCACAAAATTATTCTGCTCCTTAATAATAGCAATACTTTTAGCCTTAGAATAATGTTGATTAACAGAAATAGCAGCCACACTTGCAGTAACAGTAGCAATAAAAGCAAAAGAATACAGTAGTTAATCACTAAATAAATAAGTACTTTGAGGATGATACTGAGACAGATTTCATTTAATAGAATCAAATTAATGCAAATGTAATACCAAACTCACTCTTCGATTGATGATATTTCTTAGTTATTTTATTAAAGATTTAATACTCCCTTTCATCTTTTAAAACGTTAATCATGGGGTTTTGGGGTTTTGGGGTTTTGGGG